GTCGTCACTTCTGCACGGAGTTAAAACTTGGGGCAAGTGCTCTTTGCTGTAAGAAGAAGACTTGAACCTTTTGGAGTTGTTTGGCCTGTCTTTTCAGAAGTTTCAGCTGCCTCGAGATGAAGAGAAGGGGTGTTTCGCTAGCCGCGAAACACCTGAAAACATCATAAACCACCTGAAAACCATCATCCGCCTTTGTTTCCAGCGTCTGGCAGGGGGTTGTTGCCCCAAACCTTTGTACCACATGGTGGTTTGCTCCAAATCCCATCTCCGGCATTGGGGTTCATCAATGATGCTGAGGCCTAAGCATCGACATGGTGCTGGAGCCGAGGAGAAGTGCAAGCTCAGCGCAGAGTGAGCGCGCGGAAAAAAGAAGAAAAGGGGCACGGCTCCAGCTTCTTCAAAGTGACCTTTTTGGAGTCCCTAAGTGATCATTTCCAGGCCCAAGTGACCTCAAACCAGGGGATCAAAAGGTCACTTTGAAGAACCTGGCTGAGGAGAAGTCCTTTAGCGATGCTGCGATTAAGCCACGGCTTGCCACGTCTCAGTCCATATCTCGACTGGAGATGGTGGGATATGGTTGGCCTGTGAACACAAGTGTAACATGATTTGATATTAATATACGCATGGATCATCCAAAGATGCCACATTTCTGCCTGACTTGGCTGGTTTTCAAGAGGAAAAGGCAGACATGTTGCACAGGTGGAAGGTCTATATGATATACATTGGTCGGGAAGCGAGTGTCCATTCTATATGTAGCAACAGACGTAGTGCAACATACAGCAGATGGGTGGGCTTGAACGCTGATTCACCTTTGGAACTAGTGGAGTGCAACTCGACTCAGTCATCCGCACATGGACCAACCACTTCAGGATGCCAATTGGAACACATGAGCCAGGGGCCAGGGGATGTTTGCTAAATTACCCGGACACTTCAGGGCACGTGCAGATGATGTGATGACTCTGATGATGATCAGCAGCAAAAGCCTTGTTTGTTCAAGCAATTAGCAGATGCAGCAGTTCCCCCTATTCATTGAGAGATATGATATTCTACCTTATGTTCCTTCTAATTGCCTGGACCTGAGTACTAAATTTGAGACACTTTCATCTACTTGTAAATTGGGTTTGTTCCATTGTAATTGATTTGTGACACTTTGCACACCAAAGGACATGTTTCTCTACTTAGTTCGGATGACGAGATGATCCGTGAATGGTTGGGAGAGAGAGGCTGAGGATCTTCAGGTTCGATGACTGCGCCGCCGTGGTTCAAAGAAGGGCCGAGCCAGATGGCCTCCAACCGTCCAACCATCACGATGACATTTGCACCGATGCAACTCGTTCGTCACCGACATCAACAGACGAGTCAAGTCCAGTCGACGGTCAGCATGGAGGTCACATGGACTCTCAGGTTCTGTCCTCCACTTTGGGGCATCTAATGATCCAACAGCATCACCATGCAGCACCTACAAAAAAGAAGATGACCTACACTTGGTGATCTTACCATCCTACACTCTACACTCTAATACACTCCATCGCCTGAAAAGAAAGTCACCATCCAGCACCTTGAACATCATATTTACTGTCATTTGCCAGTTCACCAGGTCTTTGGACAATCATCATGAGTCGTCCGAGTCGAGTCTTCCCATTCCAGGGGTTGTAGTCAAGGACCTTAAGCAGTGGGAACCTAATAAGATCTTTGGTTTGAAGTGGGATGACAGTGAATGAAGTACCAGGATTCTCCAACCTCTAGGGGCCACTGCCACCTCAGCTTTGGTACCGACAATGGTGCCTACATGAAAGAGTCGAACACATCACCGTACCTCAGAAGTGGCAGTGGATCCATAAGGAAGTAATGGCACCACAAAGATTGAAGCAATGCATTCGTGAAAGAACTGTGCCGCCTTCGGCGGCGGGTTTGTCTCCATGGACGGGCTGAGATGGCTCGAAAAGAGGACTGGACGGCGCAGGGATGGTGTGGTAGTGCAAGCATGTTAATGTTACATCGCTCAAGGATCGCCAAAGATGTTTCACCATTTGCAAAGTCAGGCTTGCCTGTTATTATCCTCCAAAGCTGCCTGCGAGTCTCAAGCAATACAGAACCCCGCAGAGCCCCAGCTTTGCGCCAGTTTGCTTTCCGCAGGCCCTATGGGCCTTGCTGCGTGGGAAGAACTGGCAGCGGGCCATCCAGGCTGCTGAAAAGTTGCTGCTGGAGGAGGGCCAGACAAGCTGGTCCAAGTGAGATCCTCCACTGTTAGGGCCCTTGAATTCCTGGCCCACCATATATTTTTTGTACACTCTCACTCTGACGAACACATCACATGGAAGTGGAACATGGGCCCCTGGAATACGACTGTCCTCTACAAACAGGGGGCTTTCATTTTCCACTTCCAAGTAGAAGTGTACTACGTAACGCCGGGTCAATCGAACTCCTTGAAGGGTTTCTGAAGGCTAGGAAAGATGTTGAGTTTCCTGTGCGAACTCATCTGCCCAAATCCGTCCCCAGCTGCCAGGCAGCGGTCGGTGAAGGCGATGTTTGCTCTAAAAAAGGAACCACCCAGACGCTCCTTGCCCAGCCCTACTCCCTCAAAACCAGCGATTTGAGACCCTCCAGACTGAGACCCTGAGACCCCTCCATTTGAGGGTCCGGTGAGCGTTTGGAGTCCGTGAGAGTGGCCAAAGGCGGGGTTGGGAGTGGGTCTTGTCATTTGAAAACCTCTCCTGAACCGATCATCTCCGATCCAGGGGACCCTGTCTTGACCTGGGTTGTTACGCTGGTGGACGCTGAAGCAGTGCCACCCACCCACCCAGTGGTTACCCAAACTGTTTGCTCTTTTGGACGTTCTTCTTTCAATTTGTTGTATACAGGTCTATGGCAGTCTAGAGAGGTCTCTAATATCTCTAAATGTGTCTTCCCTCATCTTCTCCAAATTCCAAAACATCTAGAGAAGTTGCCACAGCATTCCTCGCTTTTCCCGCGTCGCTCAGACCTGACCTACCTCGTCTCGCTCCTCACGGCTCGTCACGGCTCGTCTCGCCACCCGCAGCCGCGCGGAACCGCGGCAGGAGCTCGTGCCCCGGGAGTTCTTGGCGCTGATGCGTTCGGCCGGCCGCCGCAGCGCCTGGCCACTGTCCTTGGAGGACGGGTCGGGCGTCTCGTCGGATCTCGTCGGATCTCGTCTCGTGGTTCGGTGGTGGTTCGCCCCCAGGGGTCGGGTGGAGTTGGCAGAGTCGAGTCGGGTCGAAGTCGTCGCGCAGCTCGGTCGTGGAGGTGATTTGGACGGTTGATAGACGGTTGGGTCATACAGATGATGAGGTTTTGCAATCCAAATTGGGGGGGGATTAGGACTTTTGTCTCATGGAGAAAGGCAAATGACATGCGTTAAGCCAGTTGGCTTGGACGAGCTGTGGCGTGTGGCAAGGATTGATTTGGATTGATCTTCACTTGGATCAGTAGAACCTGGTAGATCATTTCGGCAGGCCCTTGAACATCACCCTTGAGCCCCCAAGAGATTATCCTACAGAGGTTAAGTGACCTTATGACCCTACAGGAGTATAGGGATCCTATGCGGGTGTGCTGACCATGGAGTCTTGTTCTCATGCTGCGTCACCAAGACTCTCACCAGGCCTTGGAGACGATGAGAAAGAGAGAACTGCCACCAGACGAGCTGCCTGGTGACAAGCGGTGCCAAGACGGGCTGCCTGTCTTCCCTCTCACATGGGTCACTGGATGAATCCCCTGCCTGGGCCAGATGTTTTCTCTTCGCAGCTGAAGCCCGCCAATCCGAGGCTGCATTACACTGCGGCCATGCGTGCATGTCGCTTGGCTCGGATCGACTGGGACACGAGGTCCGTCCTGAGGTCCCCAGAGCCAGAGGATCAGGTCATGTAGGACCCGCAACCTGGAATACTTTATGGCATCCTATGGGGTAGTCTTTTGGAATCTAAACCCTACGGCTCCAGGTGCCTCCTCAGGTTCGGTCTGACTGGACCCTCCTGGCACCCACCCAGTCCCACCTCGAGCCTCCTGCCGGCATCCGAACCTGACCCGAGGCACCTCAGCGGATGCGGCGGGGGGCTCCGCGGCGCTGCGGCTCTTTGGGGAGGTGGAGAAACCCAGCCATTTGACCTTCACGGCAGCCATTTCAAGTGCCTGGGAGGGAGCTTTTGGAATGTTTTGGAGCTCTTCTCTCAGTAGTTTTGCTTGGAGTTCTGCATCAAGAAGTTAGGCCTACGGATTTCGCACCAGTTGGCTACATGTACATAAGATGGTAAACATATATATGCTTTTGTTGGGGGGAAGTTTTATTCATCAACTCATCAACAGCTTCAACAATCAGTATGTTTTTCTTGAGGAGTTGCATGGAGTTGCTCCCTAGACCATGGTCGAGAAAGCGTGGAGAACATCCAGAACCCCAAAGACTCGTGAACAAACATATTCCAGGACCCCCAAAGGGGTGGTTAATGGACAGCCCTTAACCTCTAAGGCTATTAATGGACACCCTTTCCGTGGTGCTGGTTTGGGATTGGTGGAGTTGAACCACTGTTCGCTCCAAGTGCTTCCAGAAACAGATGTGGCTATGACTGGATTCATATTGACCACCGCACGTATTTTGAGGGAAAGGTGATGTCGCTTGGCGTATTTGAGGCATATTTGAGATGCTTTGAGCTGTAAAGCCCATGGCCAAGCCTAGGTTGTGGTGTGACGCGAGAATGGGAGCTCCTTGGTCTAGTTGAGGCGCCCCAAGGTAACGGTGAGGCACCACAGCTGACGCACAGGGGCTCTTTACAAGTTGGCCCCTGATTGAGGCAGAGAGTGAGAGAGAGAAAGTTAAAAGAAAGACAGAGGGGATTTCAGTCAAAGAGAGAGAGAGAGAGAGAGAGAAAGATAGAGAGAGAGAGAGAGAGAGCAAAAAAGACGACAACCAATTTCAAGACACTTGCTCGGGGGTCTTTAGCGACAAAAAGAGGTCGCATGAAGCCTCATGCCCGAGAGGCATTGACCACCTGAGAGAAAAAGAGCCCCGCGCGTGGCTGAGGTTGGCGCTGGAGCTCTTGAACCTCATGGCTTTGTCCTCGCACCCGCCGGACTTAGTGGCCTTCCACGCGGCCGTGACGGTGTGTCGCCAGGCGCGGAAGTCGCGGCTGGCCTTGAAGCTGATTGACTCGTGGCTCGGAAGTCAGGAGCTGCGTGGCGTTCTGGAGTTGATGGCGTGGGCAGGGCATGGCCATGGCATGGCCCCAAGGGAATATGGTGTTTCCCTGGCATTCCTGGCCCACCATTCTATAAGAACTATGACTTGGGTTGAATCCCGAACAACCATTGTTTTACTAAGGGGTTCGCACTACACCAGGTCAACCATGTTTCAAATGGTCTTGGACTTCCAGGGGTTTCTTGATAGAAGCAGGAGCATGAATGGAGCCCTAGGCCCTGCTAACTAGGTGATCCAGGTGGACGGGCCCCATCAAATGACTGAATGAGGTGAGACTCCTCAGTTGCATTTGAGACTCCTCAGTTGCTGCAGAAAAAGGCGAGGCTTTTTCCACTTGCAGCTTGAAGACCAGCTTCTAAGTGACCAGCCTGGAGGGTCCAAGCCAGTGACCTTATAGTCCCAGCCTGTGACCCAATTTATGGAGGCTTGTAATAAATCTGGGATCTCAGTTTGGGTCAGGTTTCATGAACCTTCGACTTTGAGGCGACAAAGATGGGCATTCCGCAAGACTGAAACGGAACAACCGATCGGATGTTCCACCAAGCTCAAAGATGTCTAATTTTAGACGATATTATCCTTAAAATCGATTTTCGACTGTTTGAGGTCCCAAGGATTATCCAGACACTCCATGGGACTGCCGATCAGGCCAGGGGTGGTGCCAGGGGGGTCTGTCTGGGGGCGGCAGTCCAGATGGCAGTCCCATGTGTCGACCGACCGTGTGAGAGACGTCGAACGTCGCCGAGGCTTCGACGTTCGGAGCTTCAGCCGGATGTGGTGGCCTACAGTGCGGCCATCGCCGCGTGCGAGGAGGGCTTCCGATGGATGCGCGCCTTGAGCTTCTTGAAGCAGATGGACCAGGAAGGAGGGTGATTTCTAGGGGGGTTCTGAAGAGAAGGAGCTGAAGAGTGGTAAAACAGTGAGCTGAAGAGTGGTGAGTGAAACATGTTCAGAAACAGTGAGTGAAGTACTAGTAGGAGTCTGAAGATGATGAAAGGGGAAAGGATGAATAAAGTTAAGAAATGTCTATGGAATGCCTAGTAGCGCTTGGCCAGACCTCCATGAACGCGGAGGGTCTTGGGCAAGACTCGGCGTTTTGGCATTGAATTCTGTCCTCGTGCACTTAATTGATGCTGCCCCTTTGAACTCAGCACCCCTAAAGAAGAAAAAGTCAAGGACGTAAGGGCTTCAACTCCTCAACGCACACTGCTCGGGGGGCTCCTTCGGGCTGCAGCATGGATAGGGCCTAGTCATTTCCCAGATGTTTGAACATGTTTGAACTGCTGATCCCAGCGCACACCTCGGCTGCGCAGCGAAGCCTTGGCTGGGCGGGCGGCCCATCAGGACGCCGTTGCAGCGAACGTGGTGTCCTTCAGTAGTGCGATGAGCGCCTGTGCCAACGCGCGGCATTGGGATCACGCCTTGGATTTGATGGTCAGGATGAGGCGCGTTGGTCACTAGGTCATCCCAGGTTATCCTGGGTGCTGCAGGATGAAACTGGATGAAACCATATCCGATCAACCAGGGCAGTGTTTCAATCCACCGTGGATGCGTTTTCATCCAAATGGCAACAACACTAAAAGGTCAGTCAAACTTCATTTCAACCCCACGCTCGATGTCCGGTGTGATTCCAAATTCCCAGAGAGGTTGAACTGCCCTCTTTTATCCTCTTTTGGTCTATCCATGTGTACCACCTAAGGTCGGGTCCTATATGGTCTCTCAACCTCTCTTGGATGAACTGACTGTGATCCTTACTATCCATGCAGGGCGTGTGCCAGGACGATCTGTTCGAGAATTCTGGCAGGGGTTGAATAGAAGTGTTCAACCAGGAATACTGGACGCATACCCCGAGAAAAAAAGTAGAACCCTGGCCAGGACGATCTGTCGCAACGACAGGGTTTCTGGCTTTGTTGGAATCCATGCCAACCCCCGCGTTCGATGTACGCAGACGGTCGTGTTCGACGTGTGGCGGTCTGGCGGGTCGAAGGCAAAAGGCGATTGAGCCGAATGTGGTGACGCATTCTGCGGTCCTCTCTGCCTGTGACAAAGCGCATCAATGGCAATGGACTCTTCAGCAATGGGTGGAGATGAAAGAGTCAGGTGCCTTGGATTGGGATGAAGAGTGGAAGTGATGCGTGTGTGTTTTCCCACAGCCTGTGGTTTGTTTGTGAACTGGTGCGCTTAAGAAATGGTAAAAAGCGGTTGTTGTTTCTTCTTGGAGACCCACCTACCTCCAAAATTGCGCTACCAATATCAAATCCTTTAGGCCAAACGACAGGGGGACAGGCTGATGAGTAAGAAAGACGAAACTTCCATTACCGTAACTGACTGGAGCCCTGTAATTGACTGGCTGGAGCCACCAACTCTAGATACATAGCTCATAGCTACGATTTTTTCTGACGCCTCATCCTGCCGCCCTACCCGTGTGTGCTGTGAGGCATTCGCCCCAACCGTATCAGCTACAGCGCCATCTTGGGCTCCATGGGCATTGGCCTCCACTGGCCACAGAGTTACATGGAATGGTTTTGATGTGGGCATATGTTTTGAACATTTTTGAACAAACAGACTAGAACCGCGCGGTTAAGATAAGCGAAGCCTGTTGAGTTTCGATGACTTGTTCTTAGGAAGCTTTTTGGACAGACTCTTTCTTGGTATTGAACATCTTCGAGTGAACGAACATTGGGTTCTCCAACCGATGATTCCTGAATCTTCCCACGGTCCTTCACTTCCTTGTGCTACTTAAGCTGGAAGCTCACCAGCTGCCCAAGCTTTCTGGAGGATTGAGGACACCCCACTAAACTGAACAGGTTGAAAAAGGGTTAACCTTAGAGCCTTAGACTTCCAAAGGCTCTATTCTCGGCACTACCGAAGCAAAAGACATTCCTTGTCGGGCCAGCTAAAGGCCATGGTTTAAATGGCACGGTCTTTCACTCCCAGGCTTAGCTTTATGGTCCAGTGACCTTCTTCCAGACCTTCCCCCACCCTCCACCTTTCAACTTCCAACTGATCGGTCAGTCCATGCCAGTCCGCTTTGGGTGCAAGGCTTGTTCCTTTTGGACGAGATGTGGCACCGCAAGGTGTCCCCAGCCCCTCGGGGTGGAAGACCAGGAGCCCCAGGAGACCGAGAAACACCGTTTCGGTGTGTGATCCGTGCGACTAAGTAGCGGTCCACACGGACGAAGTGAGGGGATGGACCGGGGATGGATTTGCGAGACCGGGAGACGTATTGAGACTTGCTCCACACATATCCACACATGTTTCTGGGATTTGGGGGATGGATTTGGGCGTCATGTTTGGAATGTGCATTGAAACACATGTGCAGTGCCAATTTCTTGGTGTGATGGGGCCAGCCCCATTGACACCGGCAGACTGGCCCTGTCACCCTGTTAGACCGGCTGCGGCTCGGTCAATGCCTCGGGACCGTCGAATTTTCGAAAAGTGACCTTGTACCAGCCTAAGTCACCTTATCCTGCGATCTCAAGTCCGATCACTTTGGTATCTCAAGTTCGATCAGTTCGATCACTTGGAAGGTCCTGGACTAGCCACCTGGTCCCGGAGTCGTTGCGCCCCTTTTCGGTTCACCGGATGTTCACTGCATCCCACAGCGCCCGGTCCAGCAACTGCAACTTCTTCCAAGGACGTGCGGAACTACACTATGGCGCTCAGTTCCCTGGAGAAGGCCAAGCAATGGCAGCTGGCTGTGCAGTTGTTGAACTCGATGAGGCTCCAAAGCCTCCAGCCGGACCTGTTCCTGGGCAAGGTTTCGAGCGGGGCCCGCTGGAAAGCTCCGCAGCGAAAAGCGAGGGCATGGGACTCACGAGCCTGGGAGATGGAAGACCGTGATGAATTAATAATCAGCTTTTTCACAGAACAGATGTGGCAGATGATATACAGCATTTTGAATGATGAATTGGACCTCATGAAAAACATACTTCAGAGATTGAAGAGTGTTCTACATAAACGCCCACACCTGGGACCCTGGTGATTTCATGTGCTTTTGAAGGTGGGAGCTTCGGAGGTGTTCTTATTGCACTCTAACAATATCGACCAGGTGAACTGTGGATTGGGAGTTCTTGATGTTCCCTATATACCCAAAGACGACCTGTGTGGTACTGCTATAGGACTGCCGCCCCACCTGGCCGTTTGGAAGGCAGTCCGACATGGCAGTCCCAGACAGGTTGTGTCTGGGATAGTTGGGTGCAACCCCCCTGGCATGTTCTTCGTGTTTTTCTCCCGGTTCCGGAAGCAGATCCGAGTCTACGTGGATTGCCGCACGCCGTGTGTAAGTTGGCTGGTGGGGAATCGTCCGCACTCCTAGAGGTTTCGCACTTTGGACGACCAACCATTCATTTCCCTGGCAGTCCAAGATCATTTTTTAAACGGTCTTTAGGTGATCCGAAAGGGAACTTCCTTTACTTGGGTGGTGCCTAAAATATTCTTTGGACGAACCATTCATTTCAGCTGTTTCGCGGGTGAAGTTCTTTGAAACTTCGCCTATTTGGGGAGGGGACTTCCTGGTGCGACGCCCAGGATTTGCAAGAGCATCGCCGGGGACCTCAGAATGGGTGGGAGCGACGTCTTCCTAGAGTCTTCCAGCTTATTGACTACTAGAAATAGAACACATGCTTGTAGCACAGATAATCACAGATAAACATTCTTATATAACATTATTGTGTTGTTGCCACATGCCGTATAGCTCCAAGCTCACTCGGTTCCAACCTTGGGTGGCCACCGGTAGCCGCGGCGAGGTGAAGCGTGCGCGCTTCGCCGGCCGACTGGGCCGCAAGAGCAGCTGGTCGAGACGCCAAAAAGGTTTGCTCCGCGAAGCGCGGCTGGGAGAGAGTACAGTTGGGTGCAAGTGTATACTAGAGTAGAGTACAGTTCTCTAGAGTACCTGAGTACAGTACAGTACAGTACAGTACAGCAAGTGTCCAAGTTGGGTGTTTTGGACGTGTTTCAATGGCGTAAATGGACGCTATTATATCGAAGACACCTTAAGGGTGCCAGTGCCATGCACTCTGAAAGCAACGGATGTAACTGCTGGAAGTGTGTGGGCTGTTCCGGGGAGTGTGGTGTCCACTCAACATGAACGAAAGTGCCTGGCTCTTGATCGGTGCTCAGAGCCCGGTTTTCTATGGTTTTCTCTACGAGACTCACATGGGCATAAACGGGAAGGTATTGACCAAGGTACACCAGTTATAGCGGGAAAAAAGCACAATAAAAACAAAACGATAAATATTTGTTCAATGCTGCGTATGTTTTCAGGAGAGCCGTTTGATGTTCCAAGGGATCTCCGCGGGAACCAGGGAGAGGTCCAGGTGAACGACAAGTCCAGGTGAAGGAGGTGGCCCCGAAGACCTCCCCAAGCTGAATCTGAACAATGCCCCACTGGGTGTATCCGGATCTGAACAAGACCTCCCAATCACAGATAAAAACAATACCTATTGGGATGTTTAACACCAATTCCCAATCTGAAAAAGACCTACCAAATTGGGTTTGGACCATGTTTTGATCCAGATGTGGCCAGAATGATAGGAATCCGTGCCAAATGAGTTGATTTTGTTTGACCAAGATCGCAAATACACGTTTCTGTGAAGTTTCGACCACCAGTTCATGAGCGCATGTCATGAATGCTCGCCATCCCTTACGGATCAGGTGCGCACAGAGCCTAGCTTTTCACTTTAGCTTGCGCTGGAAAACATGCTGCGCTGTTTGTCCGGCTTTGTGTAGTGGATTTTGCACCCACTGCATTCAGTTGGTAGCGGAGCCGCCATGGACGGTGTTGCTGAGGACCTTTCATTGCCTGCCGGTTGGTCGCCTTCGGAACTGGCAGAGTTGGAAGCATTGCACGCGTCTGTGGACGATGACGATCCAGGTGCGACATCTCATTGGCGATGCCTGAGGTGTCATTCGTCGCATTGGTCATTGGTTGCCCCGGCTTCGTACACCTGTGACAGTTGTGGACATGATGAGTTTTACAACGCCCATGCCCCGACTCGGCACGAAACAGGTGACGGAGTTTGGATGTTTGTGCCAAAGGCTGATGTGGTGCCCGCCGAAGTTCCACAATCCGACTCTCCCTGGAGGCCAGCGGCCGAATGTTCGGATTCCGTGCAGGGAGAGAAGGAGCGTGATGATCCGGCGGAAGCCAGTCCTTCCTCGGTTTACGAGTGGCCCTCTGTTGATTTAGATCCGGAGAAAGCATCCTCAACCTCGAGTCGAAGGAGGCGCAAGAACAAGACCACTGTGCAAGCAGATGATCAGGATCCTACTAAGCCGTCATCACCGATTTCACCCTCCGCTAAGCAGAAGCCCAAGCTGAACATGTCGCCTAAGGCGAAGACAGGCACATCAAGTTCGGAGCTGGTTGACGCCCTCCGACAGTTGCTGGACGAGAGAAGAGCCGATTCGGCATCTGACAAGTCGTGGAACTCCCGTAAGGGACCTGCACCAGGACTGAAATGGCGTGGCGGCTCTCCTCCTCAGCCGCCAAAGTGGCAATACCAGTCGACGGACTTGAGGGCGTACGCAAAATACGAAAGAAGAGTTCAAGTATGGCAGATGCAGGTACAACATTACCTCACAGGAGCTGAAGCAGCATTGATGTTGTTTTCATCGCTGTCAGGCGAGCCGGAGGCCGAAGCAGAGCATATGGATTTGGAAAAGGTCAACGCCAAGGACGGCGTATCCTACATCTTGTCCTGCCTCAAAGGCCCGCTTGAACAAAAGTTGCTTTACCAGAAGCGCATGCTGTTGTCAAACTATGAGGGTATCTCCAGGCAAGGTCATGAGACCATACGACAGTTCATCAACCGATACAAACGTGTTGAAAGGGACTTGCAAAGCGTTGGAATCAGTTCGGCTGCCATGTACGACAGCGAGTCGAGAGGAAACCGTTTGTTGGAACGCTGCCGTTTGGACCCTCAGTTGCAGCGGCTTGTGTTGATTGGTGCGCAAAGCAGTTTACAATTTGACAACATTGTTGACAGCCTCAACCTCCAGTTCCCGGACTTTCGTCCGACCCCTGCTGTGTACCAGCCCGGTAGTTGGCGCCAAGGTGGAAGCAGTGTTAGCTCCAATAGCCATCACAAGGGCAGCGGGAAGAGTTGGTCAAGCAGCACATCCACCAGCGCCTCATCCACTGTTCCATCCTCAGCCTCGGCGTACAATCGTGGCAAAGGCAAAGGCTTCCCAAGGAAGGTCTTTCAGACTGAACACGAGCCTGTTGAAGAGGCCGAGCATGAGGAGGAGGTTCAAGAACCGCTGACCGAACATGGTCAGGAGGAGTTCTTTGAGCCACTTGAGGATGAACCGGACGCCTCACCAGGCGATAGTGCAGAAGCGGTCGACGATGATCTTGGAAACTCATTGAGCGAGTTGGCATCAGTTTTGACAGTGACATCAAACAAGCTCAGAGCAGCAACACTTGGTCGGAAGTTTACAGGTCGTAAGAGCATTGAGGAACGCAAACGCACATCCACTTGCTCAGCATGCGGGGCCGTTGGTCATTGGTCGGGCGACCCCGAGTGTTCGATCTCATCCAAGGGAGGTGGCAAAAAGAAGGGAAAGGGCAAGCCGGCAGGAGGGGCTCCTTCATCATCCGGTACCTCGTCCAACTACCCCAAGAAGACCTTCGTTGTGACCTATGGGGATGAACAGCAGGATGACCCTACAGACCCTTCGGACACCTTCTACACCTTCATGACCAAGAGCATTGATAGTGAGATTGTTGACACTGTTGACACGTCGGCATTTGTTTTTGTTGCAGAGTCCATTGACCTTTCAGGCTATATGGTATTGGACACAGCATGTCAACGGTCGTGTGCCGGAACCAAGTGGATGCAGACCCATGAGAAACTCCTCAACAACCATGGTTTGGTGTGCCACCATGAGCCTTGCAAAGACCGATTCCAATTCGGCGCAGGAAGTTGCCAGACGGCCCTCGGCAGATGCTACTTCCCAGCAGCCTTTGCAGGCCAGGTCACTCAGGGATTGGTGTTGGGAGTCAGCATCCTGGATTTGCCCATTCCGTTTTTAGCAAGTCGCATCTTGTTGGAGCAGTTGGGTTGCATCATTGACATGAGTCAGAACGTTCTGCACATGACAAAAGTTGGTGTTTCATTGCCGCTCCGTCGTCGACATGGTCACATTGTTGCTTACATCAACGCCTTCCCAACACAGGTTGCCAAGTTGTCTTGTTGGAAAGAGTTGGAACATGAGTGTTTTTGGGACAAACCAAG